CAGTTTGCGGCACCCTTTCGCGCGGACGATCATCTCCCTGCTCTCTTCTCTGATACGCCGAGTGCCACCGGAGTTGCTGAACCATCACCGGAGGCATTACCAACGTCACACGAGGCCAATATTATCCCTTCTTTTCTCAATCCTGACTCGCAATCGCCTTCCCTTCAACATCTCTTCCTCGTAGGTTGTAACCTGCCCATGTCGACGTTTGCTCGCGCATTCCCCAATGTAAAGAGGATCTGCTTACGTCAAGTCACTGCCACCCTTCCTTCGCGGGCAGATGACATGTGCTGGTCGCATCTGGACTTCCTTGATATGGGGAACGTTGAATTTCGACATCCTTGGATAGTGACTTGCAAAGTCCGACACCTAGTTTTGCACCTTCATCGTGCGGTCGGATCGCCGAAGGCCCCGGTGTCTGTGATACAAAACGCCATGCCCGTCGTGCTTGAGCTGGAGATCAACTTGCAGCTGAATGCCAAGTTCTGGAAGAGGGTGGCCCTTGTTGCTACACGACTGCGGTATTTGATCATTATTCTCAAGTGGGACGAGGAGTCCTCCTTGGATGAGTACTCTCGAACACTTAAGGGCTGGAAGGTAGGGTCCTCAAAGTCAGCTATCGCACTCATTAGCTAATGATTCTTTGTAGTCGGAATTGCCTGCCTTCATGCATGCACTGAAGATCAGTTGCTTGCGAATCTGCTGCCCATCTCCGTTTCCTGCCGCTCAAGATATTTTGCAAGACGTGCCTCAGGCCTTGAAACACGTGATTCCGACCCTGTGTTACGTAGCCTTGGAACACCACCATTCATCAGCGCATAGCGACTGGTATGACGGTCGTTATGACGGGTGGCAATCTGAAAGCACGTGGTGGCGTATCACGACAGTTGGGAATGATAAGTCACACTCGAAGGTGGCAACTGATATCGGTGAAAGGGTCGATGCCTATATGAAGTCTGCTGAATTCGAATCTTCTCTGGCTCTGTAGATCCGTCGTGGCAATGTGTCCATCTGGAATCATCGGAAAGGACAGTATGTATGAACACGACAATCCTTTCCCGACGCCTCTTATCAGATACAGGCGCATCTACTGCGCTGATACATTAAAGTCTGGACAGCGTTCTCCATTGTCGCTGACTTCGTTCATCGCCGTCTGTATGGCGCAGCCATTTTCGGATAGCGCGTAACACATAACTTCAACTCGATAAATTTGTGTAAGTTGTATACAGTTGTCGATATTTCTGCACTCCGAATATGATTCAGAAAGTATGGGCGGGACCTGATAATCGGGCACAGCGGGGCGCAGTGATCCCTGCGAGAGTCGTCACGATTCATCACCACTCGTTATCACTCGAAGACCATCATCTGGGATGCAGGGCATCGATCGACGTCTAAGGCAGCATTCGATTTTCCTCTCTGAACTTACGAGAGCATATGGGCGACTTTATTTCACCGTCCAGCCGAAAGCTTCGATGTGCAACGACACCGCTGGATGCTAGCTATATTATATGAGCAACTTTGTCACGCTGGCCTATCTCCATGGCTAACAATTGAATCTGCTGCTTAGAGAGAACAAGTGCTTTCCTGCCGACATACTATGTCTGTACACTATAGGCAGGCCCGCGCTCGGTTACCGTGCGTGCACGATTCACCACGGAATTGTCATCGTACGCTTCGAGTTCCCGTTCAACATCTGGTGGTGCATCCATATACCTTCCTTTTCGCGCTTGTTCTCGACTCTCAGCCTGTCGCAGCGGATCATGCAACAATCACATCGAATGGGCGAGCGTTGCAACGCGGAGAAACGCAAGATCGGAAACTACTTCTCGACGGCGATCTACACATTATTACGGTGCAAGTACCATTTGTGCGACGGGTGGTTTGAAATCCAGACGGATCGGAAGGTGCGTTGGTAATCTATCCTTTATCGTGTTGGTGGTTGATCGGATGCCTGGGCGGATTGGTGCTAGAACACGAGGTACGTTGTGACGGAGGGCGTGTGGCAGAAGGACGAAGAGTGGAACCCGGCGGAGAACGGCGGGTTTGTTGCGCACGGTACGACGATGGTGTGTCGGGGAACGCGTGTGCTACGATGGATCCTGTCAATCTCTGGGGCTATTACAGCTTGTATGCTAACTCACAGGGATCACACGAACTGGAGGTAGCAGAAGGAGGCCATCTGGCGGCGGTAGGATGCCTTCGTCCCTGATCCAGCGAGAAAGGGCGAGGACAAGGTTCCCTCCAGCGCTGTCGCCAATGAGGAAACTTTGTCATGGTTGTTCTGCGAAGCAAGCGCCACTCGCCGTCTCAGATCATCCTCACCCTGCTTGTGTTGAACATCATCGGCGAAGTCTCTGACATTGACAGGTTCCAAGTGTTCTGGCTCCTGGCCCTTCGGCGACTGCGACACAGACTGTTGTGGAATCGCAAGTAATGGTTTCAAATCTAATTTCAAAATTCAAGCCACGACTGTCTACTTTCTTGTAATATGCTCCTCAGCTGATTCGTCTTCTCATTGCTGACCCTAGTCGAGAAGCCATGAGACTGGAGGTCCTAGTAGGATGTTTTTCGATATTCTGACTGAAACCTTTGCTCTGAAAGTCGTAAACCGCACGCTTAGCTTAATTTGCTTGTCAACAGCCATGCATTCTCGAGAATGTACTCCGTGAAAACAAATTCATCGCGAGAATTATGATCAGTACCAGGATGTCGCAGCATCGGCCGCTGGAAGAGGACGTGTAGAGCCATCCTTCACTTCGGAAAATCTGCGAGCAATGCTAAATGCACATCGGATCAGTATGTCAACATAAGGAGATGAGGTAAAGCAACAAACGCCAAAACCGCTTCGGAATGTGCCAAGTCCAACGCTGGTTGAACATTCAGAGATGACCGCTCTTCTTCATTGAGTCCTGCAAACCACATTGCATCGTAACAGTTTTGGGGAAGCCCTGGGACAGGGTCTCCAAGACGTTCAAGTCTATTCGAGCCCCGGCGACGATACCGAGGGAATGCACCACGTCTCGGTTTTCCTTCGGCTGTGAATCTGCTCGATAAGTGCATCCAATCGAATACTCTCAGCCACTTCTCAAGTCCAGCAGAACGCCAGCGCAGCCTCGTGACAACGTATCTGACCTTGCCTCGTGAGTGGTCGGATTCGTCGCCACTCATGGCCGTGTAAGGAATGGTATCCCAAAACCTTTGGAAGCGTGCCAGATCTGCATGTGTGCCAATCGCATTTGAACGTCGTTGACGAAGCTAGTTCATTTTCGAGAATTGATGAGGTTCACAGACATGACATTCAATAACGTAGGACATACTGCACGACGTCTATGTTCGCGATTCTCTTCAGTCAGTCTATCAAGTTCCGCTTCTGTTGGTTCTTGGTCACCGCGTGATTGTTTCTTGTACTGCGCCCGTAAAGTGTTCAGATGGACAGTGAACATTCGTTGAATCTTCATTCTATCTTGACAATCGGACCAGCCAGTATTCATGAAATCCTCCGAGAAAGCCGCTGCTGCTTGTTTGTTCCATTTTGAGTTGGGTGACCCTGCCAAATGAACTCGAAAGTCTGCTCTCGATGGGCCGACATGTTTCTTCATCTCGAAGGCTTGTACTTCCTCATGTGATACAACCGGGATGGGACTGTCGACGAATTCACGCCCCAGCATTCGGCTAGCATGAATTCGTATCTTGGCCTATAACAGGATGTTGAACACCTGCAATCTGGCACAAGTTGGAAGCACATCCTCACCTGCAGTTCAAGAGTA